CCCCAAAACCCCAAAACCCCAAAACCCCAAAACCCCAGCTTCATTTGAGCTTATAGTCTAAAGGTTTCTTAAAAACTTCTGGTGCTGATAGGGGTTTAACTTAGGCAAGATAGATAAGGGTAGCTGGAGGAGGTGGAAAGGAGGCAGAGGAGGGATTAGAGGGGTTTAAAATAGAAAAGTGATGAAAAAATTATAGTAGGAGTGTAAAGTTATGAATTTTGTCAAGGTTTTTGATGAAACCAGGCATTTTCTATACTTTAATAACAAAATTCTTTATAAACAATGTAAATCTCCTCTAAAGGTTCATAAAATTCTGGCAGCTACAGTCATAATTCTCCAAAACCCCATTTGTCCATTACCTCTCAAGTCTATGTCTTAACAACACTTATTTGCACTGAGACAGGTGGCAGGCGGCTGCTTTGGGGATTACGAAGAAGATTAAACTTTTCCTTTATGAATTATGAAGATGGGATAGAGGGATTTGTAGTTTTAAGGGATTTTAGGTAGTTTTTTATAAACTGGTAGACGAATGAAATCATACAAATCCTATGGGACCAGCAGGCTTGACCATTAGAGCAAATATGGATTCAGAAGATCTAACTAAATCAAGAGTAGAGTCGTTCCTGAGACTAGCTGGAGAACTGATCCCTGTTGCAAAATCTTCCTTGAGAGATGAGGATGAGTCAAGTAAATTGAAGTTCAATAAAAGATATTGCCTCATTGGAGATGGCATTGGAGACTTAATATCTGTTTGTGCCTACTTTGAAGCTGAGCTATGGATAGGATGGAGAGTAATGAAAGGCACAGGATTCTATGATAAGGATTTTACCATCGAGCCCTATTCACATTTTAAAGTAAGGTTCAACTTTTCTGCATCAACATATCCAGCAGAAATTGCATATGAAGGAGCTTTGCAACTGTTTGACATTAAACTCCCATTATCCTTATCATATGGATATGATTACATGTGCCTTGGAGCTGTATTCTTTTCTCAAGGATCATATTTAGAAGCTTTTGCAAGAACAAATCTGTTGCAATGCCAAAAATCTATTAGAAACAGTAGCCCTTGGGATTGTGACAAAGTATTAGCCACGACATCAAATTGGACAAAGATAAGATTGATCAACCCAATGTTTCTGGATATAGATAACTATCTCTGCATTTCACTATAAATTTGCTTGACTTAAGCTCTACTTTTACCAATCAAGACTTTTTAATGAATCTATTTTAGGTCCTTTGTCAAATTCCATGACGAATTATTAAATTTTCCCATCCCAATCTGATTATTCTGACATGGGGTTTTGGGGTTTTGGGGTTTTGGGGTTTTGGGG